GACATGGCACTCAGAGAAGCAAAGCAACTTGTCCAGCAACACACGGCCAGCGAGTGGCCATGTCGAGTTTGGAAGCCACATCATTTGGATACCTGCGGCTGTCTTGACCACCAGGCCTGGAGGATCAGGGGGAGCTCACTCAAAAAGGCCCTGCGAGGAACAGAGCCCCAAGGGCATGGGGAGAACAGGCGGGAGGAAGAGGGGGCAGCCCTGAGTCGAGAGGCCAAGGCTCCCAGAGTCTGTGGAGGGGGACCCAGCACTGAGGATGGCCAGAGGAGAAAGCAAGTGCCTGGGGGTGGCTTTCTAAGAAGGCAGGAATGCATCTTCAGACCTGAGTCCGTCCTGAGCTTGAATCTCAGCCCCGCTGGCCTGGGGTCGCTCTCAGCAGTATTTGGAGCCCGTTTCCTCAAGTGTGTCTGTTTGTCATTTCTTTCGCCGACGCCCTGACCACCCTGCACGCTTCTCTCAACCCTGAGGTGGCCTCATCGTCTACTGCTGTGCTGGTCCGCGGCAGCAAAGGAGTTAATCGCGCCGAAAAGCATCATCAAAATCAGAGATGCCACAACAAGATGCCTTTCCTGGTCCCGGCACTGAGATACCCGATAGTCATCGAGCTATTATTATTGGTAATAATTTTGGCTGCTTTGCGCCTCCTCTCCACACCCACTCATCCCATCAGGCATTTTATTCTGTTCTAGACCAGGAAGCAGGTAGCCAAGCACATCCCTCAGAACTTGACATTCCTGGGATGAGGAGTGAGTGAGTCTGGGAGCGGAAGGGACCAAAAGTTCTTGTAAAAGAACCCTGGGGCGAGCAAGGGCAGCCTGGGTGCTCACAGTCAAGGCTGCAGGGCCCACTCCCTGGCGATTTTCCGAGAGTGGGGGCATCGGCATTGGGCTTGGGTCTAGTAGAATAAATGACAGCCTGTTTTGGAATTTGGGGTACACTGGCCCCTAGATCTCTCCTCTTACCTTGTACTATGGGATTTTATGACAAGAGTCTCTCTCTTCCTCTTTTATTGTTCTTGGGATTCTGGGCTCCATGGAAATGCAGCCCCTGGTCTTACTTAGCATAAACTCAGCGGCATCCATGTTGGCATTCTCACCCCTGCCCTGAGGGAGAGGTGCGGATGAAGGGCAAGGGTGCATTCATGGGTGGAGGGGCTCATGCGTGATCCCTGTGTCAGGGCTTGAGCCAAATCATCCAACTCCACTCACACAGACCTACACTGGGGACGCCACCAGCTCCGCTCCTCAGACAGCATCAGCACGGGGGAGAGTGTGTCCTTAATCAAGTCGTGCAGCCAGTGACTGGTGAAGATGTCTGACCGAGACGTCCCAGCTGCTCTTACTGTGCCCTTTCTGAGTGGGGCGTGCATGGAAAAGCCTCAGCTCACATTTTACAGCCTTGTTCCAGAAAAGACACAGTGGAGCAGGTAGAAGGCCCTGACAGGCCACACAGACAGAGCTCCTGAGCTGGGCAGCCCGAGGCCAGCATTGACTATTCAGGCTGTCAGCACCCACCACTCTTGAGAAGACCCTGAAGGTCATCCATGGGGCGGTGTTGTGGGACCTACAAACCTCAACTGCACCCCTTTCCCATGCCAGCTGGCCTTCAGGCCAAAAAGAGGGGTGCAGCTGTGCAGCGAAAGGAGGCACCCTGGTTCTGCTGGATATCAGCACAGTCCCCTTCCACCCTCAAAAATAGCCCCTGGGAAAAACACAAAGATGGCTCCTCCCTAGGATCTACAGACCTGGAGCAAAATATTATCCTGCACTCCAGTGCCTTCCACCTCTGCCCCACCCCCATTCACAGGTACCCCAGCAGGGACTGTGCCCTCGTCTGGACCACTGGCATCCCGTGTGCTTCCACCCCCACCGTCCTCCTATTCTGAACTCCCAGGTTATGACCCAGGGGCAGGAGAAGAATGCCAAGCTGGGTGGAGACAGGGAAAGGGGTGTGGATCCAAAGGAATATAAAAAGCCTCAGAGATCGTGGGCTCCGAGCCCCTCATGCTGTGCCACTCTGCACCTGCCCAGCATCATGGTAACATCTGCGGGTGGAGCTTGGGGATGGAAAGTGGCACCAAGGGTCCCATCCCTCCCTGCCCAGGGCATTAAGAGCATGAAGGGGAGAGGCCAGGACAGCCCCCTCTGCTGGTTTGATGGCCAGGATAGCTACCAGGGTTTCCTGTCTTTGCTTTGAATAAGGGGAATTCCTGGTCAAGAGAAGGTTGAGGGTCTCAGGGCCTCTGGGGGTATCAGTGTATGGACATCATGACATGTGAGTGACTCTGTGTGTGCATGTGTGTGTGATGTGTGATGAAATTCTCTGTGCTCAGCTGGGGGTGCATGTGGGGCTCTTTGGGCGCAGTTTCTGTATGCAGCTATGTGAGTCCTGCATTCAACGGTTTATTGAGCACCTACTAATGTCAGGCACTGTTCTAGGGGCTTGTGCTACTTCGGTTTACAAAACCAGCTAAAAGCCAGCTACAAGGGGACTTACATGGGGGATGAGGAGTCACTGGGGAGTGCTGAGGGCAACGTAAGAGTAAGTAGAGAACACAGTAAGTTAGAAGGTGCAGGGGCTGCGGGGAGTGCAGCAAGATGAAGGGGTGGCTCGCAGTTTCACACAGGAGTGCCAGAGTAGACCCAGGCAGGTGAGTTTTGAGCGGATGCCTGAAGCTGGTGAGGAAGCTGGCCGTGCGGGACCAGAAATCCTCCAGGCAGAGAGAACAGCACATCTGACTTTTTTGAGGAACAAGGAGGCGAAAGGAGGTTGGAGAGGGTTAGCCAGGAGTTGCGGAAGGAATCAGCGAAGTGAGGGCGCTGACCAGGGCTCTCCGCCGGCCTCGCCCGTCCACCTGGGCCCGGGACTCCCGCCCCGCGCCACGCGCCCCTTTACCGACTTTGCGCGCAGGACACGCAGGTCCAGATGTGCACTCGGCCCGCGCGCCGGGACGCCCCTCACGGCGCTCGTGCACCTCTGTACGCCCCACAGGCAGCACGCCCCCGGGTCTGAGCGCCCGGGCACCCCAGGGGGTCCGCCCTGCCGCGGGTGCCGGGTCCTGGTGTCACGTGACCCCGCGTCTCCGTCCGCTCCGCCCCCTCCAGGCGCTGGCGGTGCGCTGCGCGTGCGCACTGGCCTTGGTGTGCCCGCGCTGGGGCTGCTGCGGCTGCTGCGGCTGCTGCGGCTGCTGCGGCTGCTGCGGCTGCTGCGGCTGCTGCGGCTGCTGCGGCTGCTGCGGCTGCTGCGGCTGCTGCGGCTGCTGCGGCTGCAGGGTGCGGGGGGTGGGGGGGTTGTGTATGTGGAAGGTCCCCTGCAGCAGCCCTCGAGCCCCAGGGTGGCCGACTGGCTGAGCAGCTTCAGCCAGTTCCACAAGTACTTGGAAAAGGTCTTCAATAGCAGGTGGGCAGAGAGTGGGACAGAGGGAAGGAGAGGGTGGAAAGAAATGAATCTTCCCACCATGACTGATCACCCCATGACCCCTGAAAGGATGTGTTCCCCAGCTTGAAGCCTAAGAACAAGAAATCTAAAGACCCCAAGAAAGAACAGAATCTCACAAAAGCCCCACCGCCAGACACCATGAAACACCCACAACAGAACACCAGGAAACCTCTGCCAACAGCCTTCTCCGGAGCACCAGATAGGAGAGTCTGGGCACAGCCACACCAGTCTGGGGCCTTGGAGTTGGGGAAAGTTGGGAGGGGGCAGGAATACTACAGTCCCAGGGGCTTCTTTTCCAGGCTGAACCTTGATCTGATGGCCCACTCACATCTCCCCACCCACCACCTTCATATTTGAGAGGGGTCTTCATGCCTCCCCCTCCACTTTCGCCCCCAGTGAGAACAATAAAGACAAAGTCTATTGCTTTTGTGACTTTTATGGGCTCTGGGCAGAAGGGACCTGATCTTCAAGGGGGAGAGGAGACCCTGGAGCTCCTGCTGTGGGACAGAAGACTCCAGCTCCAGGGTCTTCCCTGCCTCCTCCCTGCTCTGCATCCACCTTCCCCCACCTCACACACACCACTACAAGGAGGGGGCTCTGACCAGGAGGGAGGACAGGGGTGAAAGAAACAGGAGCCAGCATCTTCAAAGAAGGGGCTTCAGCCACCCCCAAGTTTGTACACAAAGCTAGGCAGCTTTGATGCCAACCTGGGGTGTTACTGTTGGCATAGCAACAAGCAGCAGTGCTTTGCCCCTCCGTATGCAGGGCATAAGAGCCTGCTCCTGCCTCAGGGAAGCTCTAGGCCCCTCTGACAGTGAGAAGAGCAAGGAAAGGGGCAAGAGCCCAGTCAGGGCCTGACCCTGGCAACCTGGGTGCAAGGTGGTGGCCACCGGGAAGACCTGGCAGGGCCAGAGACTCCCATACCCAGCTACGTCCTGAGCAGGATCCTAATTCCTTCCCCTGAGAAGGGTCTATACCTCTCCCTGCTTGTGACCATCCACTGAGTTGCCAGAGAAAATTCTGGGACATCAAGCTCCAGCATCCAAACTCAAACTGTTCTGCTGAAACCATCCTTCACCCAGATACTGCTTGGATTCAAGAATCTGAGCCGTGCATGTGCTGGGCAATGCATCTTCACCAGTCCTTTGCTTTTTTACAGCCTGGTTCCACTGCTTTTTACAGCCTGTGTCATTGGTGCCCAGCAGACACAACCAGGACTTGAGGGGAAGCAGGATTGTGGTGTCGTTGTTGTGGGGTTCCTGCTAAGCCCAGGAAAGTGGGCCCTGCAGCCACCCAACCTGCAAGCCCCATCTCTCTGAGGGGAGCTGTTGGGGAGGCAGGGAAAGCCATTCCAGGAACCAGAAGCTTCCAGTTCTTTCACATCCTGCCATGACTACCCCTTATCAACAGCGGCTCCCACAAACTCCAGGAAAAGGGGAGAGAAATAAGCTCACTCTGTCCTAATTTACACACACACACCACCCCACCCCTGCGCACGCGGGGTTGATGAGAGGGGCAAGGACCGAAAGCCACTGGGACTCCTCAGTGCCGGCCTAGGGGTAGGAGGAGCACGGCCCCGGTTCCCACCCATCCAGAGCTGGAGTGGGAAACCCACAGATTGGACTCCTGGAGGCGCCTGGGACCTGCCTAATCCAGCCTTCTCCCTGCAGCTGCTTGGGGAGCTCCTGCCCTAGGAATTCACTGCCTCTCAGGACAAGGCTCTCTCCAAATTGCTGGTTCTTCTAAGATCCTTCCTTCGAAGTCACCCAGTGTCACTCCCAGAGTCCCCTCCCACGGGCTTGTCCCCACTCCTGGAGCTAACCACAACCTTCTTCCATAAGATGGAGCGTCACGTGTTTGAAGAACACGGTATCATCTTCCCAGCATGCTTCTCATGGACCCCGCTGGTAGGTGGGGGGCTGCACCGCACGTCTGCCTCTCAACAGCTCCATGTACTGAGCATTTCCTAGGTCGGGTTAAATGCTGCACGTGCTTTATTTCATGCCGTGCTCACTGCAGCCCTAATAAGTTAGGTACTGTTGTCCTTCCCATTTTGTAGATGAGGAATCTGAGGCTCAAAGAGGTTATACCCCTGTCCAAAAGCAAACACAGGAAGTGGCAGATCCCAGCTCCAAACCCAGGTTCGTCTAACTAGAGCGATGCGGTATCAGTAACTTCCATGGCAGCTCCTGCGGCGCTCGGACAAGCTGCTATGACTGAGCTCTGGGCACCCGCCAACCGCGTCTCCCTCGCAGGGCTGTTGAGCAGGTTAAGTGCCCACCACACCCTGGGCTCCTTCTCCCAACCATCTCAAGTGGCGCCAGTTCCCCTCCTCTGGCCATGCTACTGCTGCTGGGCCCCTCACCCCCAGGGAACCCTATTCCCAGCGCACCCAGCACAGCGACGTGCACAGCGACGACGTGGTCGCGTCTCTGACCTGCCCCAGAGGAGGGCGGCTCTGCCACCACTGCTACGCCCAGTGTCTGAGCACCAGTGGCTCCTCCGGCAGGACAGCAGCCCCTGCCCCCAGCCCAGGATGCTGGGAAGGACAGCGCTGGTGCGCGGCCCGTCACCCGCTCAGTGATCAGGAAGGTTGAGAGGTGCTGAAATGCAGTGATTCCAGCTTCTCTGAGTCACTGAATGACTTTGGGGGAGGCCCAGCCTCCCTCTGGGCCACAGTTTTTCCTCACCCCCATTGCCACTTTCCCCTGCCCCCATCTCTCACCCCTCCCCGCACCATGAAGTGGATGCCCGAAGGGCTCAGACCTTTGGATCAATGAGAACACCCTGAATTCCCTTCCTCCCCCCCCACACCCTCTCTTTCCTGCATCTTTCCTTCCCTGTCCCCCCAGGGCTCCCCGGGACACAGAGAGGCTGGGGTTTGTGTCTTGATGCTTTATTTAGTCTGTGTGGGCGCAGGGAGCCAGGGCAAAGGTGCAGAGGGAGCACTGGCCGGTGCCGCCCTTGCTTCAGTGCCAGCGTCAGCGCAGGCCACAGTGGGGGTGCAGGTCTATAGGCTGAGCGCCCTGTGCAGAGAGGTCAAGAGGGGGCATATGAGTAAGTGGTCCTGTGCCCACGGAGACCGACCTGGTTTCAGCCCAGAGAGCCGGGCAGTCAGAGCAGGGCCAAACCTACCTGGGGGCAGCTGCATGGGGGGAGCCCCACTCCAAGAAGTCCAGCTTGTCTTCTTGGTCTCTCTTCCCATACCTGAGAGGGGAGAGGCAGCTGGGTGCTGTGCCCAGGTGACAGCTACCACCTCGTGCCTTCCCTTGGGCCACATCCCACCCAGGGCACATGGGCCCAGGTCTGGCCAGTGGAGAGGCTCTGCTCTCCCAAGACGGGCAAGGAAGGGCTGAGGCTGTGGCCCTGAGGCCCGGGGCCATGGTCTCGCCCCTACTTGCACACACCTGGGCCTGGTCAGCATGTTGATGTATCTGCGTAGCTCAGCTGCGTACTGGGCCATCTGCTCCGGCGTGGCATTATCCCCTGGGTACACTGGCTCCAGCGGGGCCCCGTGGGCACCCAGCGGTGGCTGTAGCAGCAGAACCACGCAGGTAGACAGGAGCAGCAAAGCAAGGCAGAGACGGGCAGCGGCCATCTGAGGAGAGAGGGGCAGAGTAGAGCCCAGCCCGCAGGGCCACCCTCCTCCCCCAGGCTCTTAGCCAATCACCCATTTCTCCAGGCCTGGAGCCACCCTGACCTGACCACTCCAGTCCCAGGCACACTGAAGAGCACGGCTAGACCCTCTCGTGAGCAGCCAGAGCTCAGCTAGGAACTTGACAAAGTAGAACAGTGCAGTGGAGGAGGTGGGGGCGGTGGGGGACGTGGGCAGCAGACACAGGACTGGCTCAAGACACCCAGGGTGATGGCGCTGAGGAGATGCAGGGTGGTGGGTGGGAGTTTGGGGGCCTAGTGGAAGTAGGGACACCCCAGCTCACCTACAGGGTAGGGGCACAAAGAGTGAACCTGTGAACTAAAAGACAGACATCCATAACCCGTGGGTCTGCTGCCCCCCACTTCCTGCCCAGAGCTAGACACACTGATACAGGTCCTGGAGAAGATAGTGTGGCCCATGTCGCCTGGCGCACACCTGGGGCCTAGGTGTAGTTCACAAGGTCACGCTCACTCACAGATTTGCATTCATGGTCCCCAGGCCCTCCCCACGCACATTTGCTGTCTCCCCGTCGGCAGACTGCTCTTCAGGGTGATTCACTTGTCCAGGCGTAAAGCCAGACCCAAGCAGAACCTCCGGTCTCCCAAGGCCCCAGCTCTGCAGAGCGTCAGCTCCTTCCCTTCCCAGCCTCTGGGCCTGAGTAGCCCCTCAGAGCCGGGGCAGGCTGGGCCCACTTACCCTGAGTCTGGAGAAAGCGAACGGGCACTCACTGGACCAAGCAGACACCTGCCTTGGGCTGGATGGGTCCCCCTGGCCTCTGCTGTTCCTCTTTATAGTGCTCAGCCCCCCAGAGTCCCCGCCTCCTGTCAGCATCTCTCACTCCCCAGATCTCCTCCCCCACTGTCTCCCCGGTGCCTGCAAAATGCCAGGCAGTGCTGGAGCCAGGGAGGGGACAGGGACGGGGCAGTGATGTGGGTGCCAGGCTAGTGGCATAACAGATAAAAGTGGATCATAATAAAAGTCTCCTGTGGGCCCCCAGCCCTCATGTGCCTCTGCTTTTTGGGCACCAGAGCAGACTTGGGTGAAGAAGGATGGGGTTCATGGACTTCCAGAGGACTGAAAGTTTCTCGTCACTGGTATCTGAACAGCCATTTCTGCCTCCCAGGGATTAGCCCAAATCATCAAATGATTCCATGAGGGCAGATGACAGAGGCTGCAGACTCCAGGGATGAAGCATAGAGACTCGGGATGCCCAGTTTTCAGTTGGAACAGGTGGGAGCAGGGAGATGCCCCCAGTAGCTGGGCCATGTGGAAAGGCCGGGAGAGCCCCACTTGGCTGCAGAATAAGAACAGGTGTGCCTGGGGGAGATGGCATGTGCCCACTTTTGGTAGCTACTCCCTGAGCCCCCATTCCAGGGGAAGGATGAAAACCAGCATCTCTGAAAGCCATTTTCCAACGTGTTCCCCTCTCAATGACCCTACACCCACCCGTTTTACGGATTCGGAAACCAAGACCCAGAGACAGTAAGTAACCTGCAGTCCCAGGCCACACAGCTACTCAGTGGGAGACCCAGGATTTAAAACAAAACCTAACTCCAAAATCTGGACCCTTTTAATCTAAAGAGTTGTCAGTGTTGCTACAACTTTTTGCTTTTTTGGCTGAGAAAGGGAGGCTCACACACACTTGCCCAAGAACACACAACTGTCTAGCACTCAACTTCTGATTGAGATTCCCACAGCACCCCCACCCCCCGGTCCCCTCCCCACACCTCTGAGTCTCCCCCGCTTGGTGTCCCTTCCCCAGCTCCAGCCCCCTCTCCAGCTTGGGTCACAGAGCAGTGACTCTGCGGTATTGACACGCTGATGCCTGGATAGGGAACAAAACCTCCCCGTTCTGCTGTCCCAGATCAGTGTGGGGTTGGAGCTAAGAAATTAAGGGGCTGGGTAAGGACTGGAAGTGGTGCCCAGGAACCTGGCAGTGTGGGCTTAGAGAGCCATATCCTGGCTCTGCCACTGGCTGGCTATGTGAGCCTGGGAAAATCATTCCTTTAGCCTCTCTGAACTTTGATCTTCCTCAAGATAGTGAGAGTAAAAGAAGGTGCCACCAGGGCCTCCCTGGTGGCTCAGGGGTTAAGCTTCAGCACTCTCAAGCTATCAGCAGCTGCAGCGGCAAGAGTTTCATCCTTGCCAGGGAGCTACCCACATGGCGCGGCAGACCTCTCCTGTCTCGCCCGCTGCTCCCCTCAGCAGTATATTTCAGTCACTCTGCCTGTTCTGCTCCCCACTCTGTCTCAGGGGAATCTTCGGCCTGCTCCCCACCCCTGCACCTCTGGCCTACACCCCAGTTCTTGTATACTTAAATAAATAAAATAAATCTTAAAAATAAGACTCCATAAACATGAATGTTCTGCCTTGTTCCTCTCAACGCTCATTCCTGATACGCATTTCCCGACAACAGCTTACAGCCCTCAGAGCAAGTGTGAGGCTTGTCCAGTCTTGACCAGGCCCTGCCCTTCGCTGGGTCTTGAGTTCCCACTTTGCAAAATGAGGAAGGTGACTTGGCTGGTCCCAGGGAGGTCTCAGGGCAGGCTGGCACAGGGACAGCCCGACACTTGGGGGCGCCAGGCTTCACTCCCTCCTTCCACGGGTCTGGGCTCCCATCTGAGGGTGGCGGGCTGGACTGGTTCTGTGGGGCACCAGCCCCAGGGAGACAGATGGTGGACTCACGTGCCGAGGCCATTTCTAGTTTGTCACAGAGGTAAACAGCCTTGTCAGTTCCTAAAAAATAACAGGCTCTCCACAAATGTCAACCGAACCCGAAGCTTTCATTATTCTCCTTTGCAAACAACAGCTTCCTCTCCTGGGAGGTGGAAGAGGCGGTGGAGGTGCTGTCTCACCCTATGGCCCCCACAGCACTAAGCGATGGTCCCCACTCACTGGCCTCTGTTCTCTGGAGAATGAGGCTAGAAAGGGAATATTACAGAAACACGGGGGGCCTCAGGGTGAAGGCTAATGTACAGTAGCAAGGGGACTTAGACACCCCCACATATGGGCCTGCAAGGCAGGAATTCTTTCTATTTTTTAAGATTTATTTATTTATACAAGTACTGGGGTACAGGCCAGAGGTGCAGGGGGGTGAGAGGATTCACCAGAGACAGAGTGGGGAGCAGAACAGGAGGATCTACTGAAATACACTGCTGAGGGGAGCAGCAGGCAAGACAGGAGAGGTCGGCTGTGCCACATGTGTCCCCTCCCTGGGGGCCAGAGGCTATGGAGAGCTTCACAGTGCTGTGCTTTAACCCCTAGCGTCACCAGGGAGGCCCAGGAATTCTTTTTTTTTTTTAAAGATTTATTTATGTATTCATACAAGCACTGGGTACAGTCAGAAGTGCGGGAGGGTGAGAGAATTCACCAGAGCCAGAGCGGGGAGCAGAGCAGGCAGAAGGACCGAAGCACACTGCTGAGGGGAGCAGCGGGCGGCAGGAGAGGTCTGCGCGCCATGTGGGACCCTCCTCCGGTGGCCGGGGAGCAGCCGGGGATCGAAACGGCGCTGCAGAGGCTGCGGGCAGCTTCGCAACCCAGCGCTCAGCCGCTGCACCACCGGGGAGGCCCAGAAATTCTTTTTTAAATCATTTTTTTTCCTTACCATATTGTTCACTTTTGTACAATATTTGATTTCTCCTCTCAGGTGTAGTCTCCATAATTCTCCCACCACCACAGCCCCATGAACAGTCCCTTGTGCTTGTCCCTCCCCTGTTCTTGTCCCCTCTCCTCTCCCTCCCCTACTGTTTGCCTTAGATTTAAGGTTTAAGGTCAGGAATTTGATCACCACTGTATCCCCCTTCATCCCCTTACCTGGTGCTTAGGCCAACATCTTCTCCCCACATGGGAAGCAGCCACAGAGAGGGGAAAGCTGGGTAGTGGTTGCCCCCCAGTGTAAGTAATCCTGGGGGTCCCCCATCCCCTGTATTAACTCTTGGGCTGAGAGTAGCTGTCACACACACACACACACACACACACACGAGCATGCACACATCTTGAACCCCTGTCTCATCTCCTCAGGACCACCTCAGGTCACTAATTTGGAACCTGGGCTCTACCCCCACTCCCCTCCTCCCTGGAAAGCCCCTGCAGGCTCAGAAGTGCTGGTGTTTCTCCCTCCCTGCCCAGCAAATCCTATCACCAGTCCAAATTTTTGCTGTAAGTTTTGTCCAAGAACCCTAGTGGATGCCTAAGACCACAGATAAGAGCAAGCCCTGTATATACTTTTTTCTTCTACACACACACCTATGACAAGGTTTAATTTATATTGGGCACAACAAGAGCTTAGCAACTACAGCTAATAATAGAATAATTTAACAGTATACTGTAACAAAAGTTACAGGGATATGGTCTCTCTCAAGATATGTTATTGGGCCTCCCCGGTGGCGCAGCGGTTGAGCGCTGGGTTGCAAAGCTGCCAGCAGCCTCCACAGCACCCATTCGATCCCCGGCCGCCGGGCGAGGGTCCCACATGGCGCGCAGACCTCTCCTGCCGCCCGCTGCTCCCCTCAGCAGTGTACTTCATCAGTCTGCCTGTTCTGCTCCCCGCTCTGCCTCTTGTGGATTCTCTCACCCTCCCGCGCCTCTGACTGTACCCAGTGCTTGTATAAATAAATGAATAAATCTTTTTTTAAAAAAAGATAACTTATTGCAGGTACTATTTTCAGACCACAGTTAACAGTAGGTAACTGAAAGAAAAACCATAGGTAAGGGGGGGGCTGCTATAGAATAAAGTGGGGGGTGGATGATTGGGAAAGAAAGAACACCATGGGGACTTATTGTGAGAAGAGGGGGGTTTTCTCCTTGAGTGAGTGGAAAGGAGAGATGACAGAGCAGTTTTGACAGGGGTGAGGAGGAGGAGAATGAAGGAGAAGATGGAGCACTTGAATAAGCATTGCCGCGATGTCTCCTGAAAGGGGAGTGAAAAGTAGAATTCCTTCTAA